ACGGGGAGAAGTGAAGGAGATGTCTGGGTGGGACCCAAAAGTACGAGGGTCCTGGGGAGGTAGGTTTGGAGGGGTGTCGCCCGTGGTTCCAATGAAGGGGACTCGATGGGTTTGACCACACTTCGTTTTGAGAATGAGTGTCTCAAACGCCCATTCGGCCTCTGTGCTACGGAACCGGCGAGACCAGGGAGTGCCAAGGATAAAGTCGTACCCAGTCTCCAGCACGTCGAAGTAGGCGGAGGAATGGTAACGCCGAGGCGCCTGGGTACTATCCGGTGGCTGGAGGGTGAGGGAGAAGTGGAGGTCGGGGACCGTCTGATCAAAGAAGCTCTGCGTCTTGCTATCTCCGAGGGTAACGGAGATAGGAGAGCGAGACCCAGAGATAGCTAGGTGAGCTTCCTCAACCACTCGAGGGTGAACGAAATCTCCCTGCGAGCCAAAGTCCCATAAAGCGCAGTACACCCTCGTAGATGTCCCTAGGCGAATAGGGATGATGGGTAGGGTGCGATCAGGGTCAGAGAGCAAGGCGAGAAGACGACGCAGGACGTTGATGTGTCTCGTGAGGCGCTCCTGACGAGCCTGCAGAATGCTCAAGTCCAGGAGAGATGATACAACGTCATCGCGAGTCGCCAGCTGAGCGCCACAACGGGCTATGCGAATGGCGCGACGCGTCAGAAGTCTCAAACGAGAAGCGCTAGACGCGGCAGTCTGTTGGGAGGCAGACGGTACCTCGATAGACGATGGGGCGGAGAGAACTGCGTCTATCGTGTCCTCTGGTGGGGTAGCCAAAGGGGCAAACCGCGACTCGGTGGTCGGAAAGTCGGCTACGTGCGAGGCCTCAGGGGTACAGTGCACCGTGGCTAGGTGGATGGGGTTGGTCGGGCGGGGCCGGGGGGGGACTGAGATCGACGCTGACGAGAGATGTCAGCGTAGTGCCGATCGAGGGCGGTATGGTATGGACACCGTGAGGAGGTGTGTCCATCTAGGCAGCAACGAACGCAGCCGCGCCGGGCCTCGAGGGCGGCACGCTCCTCAGGGGATAGAGCTCCGCGAGGAGGGACATAACCCTGCGGGAGGTCTATCTGAGGAACCGTGGGTATGCGGGCGCTAACCTGTGCGACCCGACTACGAGCACGACCCATGGCAGACATGGCCATCAGCAAGCGCTCGGCCACCGGAACAGTGTCGTCATCCAAGTGATACTGGATGACGTCTCGTAGCTCGATGTCCTCGGGGGCGTCCCCAAGGGTATGGTCAAACTCGGTCGAGGCGTCCTCGCCGTTCTCCAGAGAACTGTAGCGCCGAGAGAATGACGCTCCAGGGCGGGTCGGGCGACGAAAACGACCAGCAAACGAGGAGAGACCTCGAGTGGTACCCCGAGACTGAGAGGTGGCGGCTGGCCGCGAAGAGGATGGGGCGACGGAGAAGCGACTGCACATCCTCTGGTACTGACGCGCAGCCTCGTATGCTTGCTCCGCGGAAGAGAATGATCGCCTCCATAGCTCTAGGCGATAGTCAGTCGGCAGGCTGACAAGGAACCGGTCGGTGAGTGTGACCTCCGGTAGGAACATCTCGTTACAAACAAGGCGAGCGTCCTGAAACACCCGGATGTGACGTTCCAGGTCGGCCAGTACAGAGGACACGGACCATCTGGTCTGGGTGACGCGGTCTAAGGCGTCGGTGGAGTCATGATGAGCGCCGAAACGGTCCTGAAGGAAGGCCGCGAAGTCGGCCAAAGTGGGGACCTCACCCACGCAGAGGCGCTGGGTATAATGATCCTCCCACGCAGTGGAAGGGCTACCTCGCAATTTGGTTGCGAGCACATCGCACCACAACTCCTGACGGGTGGTCGTCATAGAGAGCGTGCGCGTTGCTATCTACAACCAGCGAGAGACACGGGTTGTGCCATCATACTCGGGAATGTCCTTGGTGCGCACAGGAGGATGTCCACTGTGCTGATGGCGGGGGGAGACAGATCGAGGCGAGTGCACTGCGGCAGCGTAAGTCGAGGTCGCTGCAGGGGCAGAGGTGGGGAAAGGTTGTGAGCCGTGGCCGCTAGCGGATGGACCAGCAGACGAGGAGGCAACGGCTGCGGGCAGCTGTCCCGGAATAGCCAGGTAGGAGGAAAGAGGCTGAGGAGCAGGTCGAGGGAAACGAGCCTGCATCATGGGGACCGAAGGGGTGGTAGAGGAAGAAGGGTGGGCAGCCTGTGATGGGTGAGGCTGTCTCAGAGCGAGAATCTCCGCCTGAGCCTGCGCAATGGTGGCCTGTAAAGTGGCCACGCGCTGGGTGCGCGGGGTCGGAGGTGGAGGGGGCGGAGCGGGTCTCCCAGTGGGAGGAGGAATCC